GGTCAAGAGGAATCCGCCGTCGTCTTCTGGTGGAACCGACCTTCGAATCTCTTCACACAACACTTTCACTTGAAATGGTAGTAAGCAAGATTTCACCATAACTAAATTAGGATATCTCTTGGACTGCAGCAACCGGAAATCCAAAGAAAAACCAAGCGGCTGCAGAAATAGGTCTCTACTTTCTGGTGGGATCAACCTATGAAAGATTGCATCAAGCACTTTCACACAAAATAAATGTCGCCATAATAATATTATTACCGTTCATTTGATTAGGATGCATGCTGAATATCCACAGGAGAAATTCATTCCGTTTCTATTCTGTTTAAATGTAAGTATATCATGATGAGTACAATAATCCCCTTCAAATATAAGTATGGACTCATTAAGCATTAACAATAAGACTATGATTACTTCTAAAATCCAAAGTTACTTTTGATTGACAATATTTGTGCAGTATACATAAAGAGAAAATCATTATGTTAAGAGACCAAAAAACCCCATTCAATCATTCAACATTGAGGACGATTTAATTGTACTTATTTGTAAACTGTATGACAATTATTCATTTATTTATTTTATTAAGTCTTATGGGCCGAATAATTACCTAAGCCGACAGAACTCTCTTAATTGTATAATAAAGCAAATGGCCCTATTGGATGGAGCTATATTATTCTGCTTTCTAAATATGAACTATTTTGATTAGTTAATCGTACAGCGAAGCAAACAGTACATGTGGCCTGTCTTACGGGCACATTTTTTCTTGCATCAACGCACAACATGGAAGCATCACTTTCGCTCAGTCGCTTCATCCTCGTCAGATCCAACTCGAACTTCTTTCTTGCTCTAGTCATGCCTCTCCATCCACTCGTACAAATTGGTCGAAAGGTCAGTTTGGGCCGGCTTTGCCGCGGCGCCGAAGGAGGGGCCCATTTCGGCGGCAGAGATACTCTATTTGGAAGACTGAGACCACGGGCAGACGGCCTTAAGGGTCCCAACGCATTTCGGTTTCCAAGCTTATGCACTGTCCAGCACCCCGGTGGACCTGGCTCCGAAGCATCGACGGCTAATGGGTGGGGTTGCATTCTGCCCGACGGTGGGACTCGACTCAAACGTCCAACAAGTAAGTCGTCGCACAGGAGCTGAGCTTGAAACTCCGTCCCCTTATCCCACTTGTTGTTCAGTCATACACAGATGCATAATTCCCAAAGTTTGCTCAGAACGAGAGACACCAGCGTCTAAATACATGCACATTGACGCGCACAATGAAGTACAAAAATAACTATTTCAGCCCAACTAAAGGAGATCCAAGAGTGTGAGGCTGTCCGAAAAGAATTGATTGCTCTCGTAAAATAGTCGATTTCTAATTCTAACTAACCCAGCCTGGCTACCAATCCTGCATTGTTTTGGTAAAGGGGGTCGCACGGTGAGAGGATGAACAATTGTTTTCCGAAAGAAGTGGACTTTACGAAGGTTGAGGCGTCATATGTCAGCGCTATGACAACAGAGAGATTGACAAGAGAGAATGATTAGTCCTGTATTTATTAGTAATATAGATAGGACCATCCCAGTCTCTGTCGTTAAGCCGATAAGGACTAACCATCTTAAGCTCGCACGGTCAGCTCAATAGGCTTCGTCGGTAGTGCAGCAATCATACTCCTTATTATAAGCATTTTAGGGTCTGACGTTGAGGCGAAAAGCAAAAAGTGCTTGTAAGAAGTCGACTAATATTAATAGGCCTTAGAGCGAACATAAAATAGCTGCAGTATTTTATTTAAATTGCAATTAGATAAGAAGCACAAACTTGGTTTCAATGAATCTCCTGAGATAACATTGTTAGGGGGAACTTCATTTCGAATGAAAGTACATGAAGAAGAGATTCTTTTTTTTGATCTCACCAGATGAGGAAGGATGAAAATCTCAGCCGTTCTTATCTGGTGAGATCGAAAAAAAGAATCTCTTCTTCATGTACTTTCATTCGAAATGAAGGTCCCCCTAACCATGTAATTAGATAGCCGAATAAAGCACGTTTCAAGAAAAAAAATGTTGTTTACTTGCCAGCTGGCACAGCTCCACAAATGTTCAATATGCTAAATAAATAACATGCATAGTTTCCAACTTTGATGCATACAATTTCTAGTTGGATTCAGTCGGCTTCTGAACTACTTAATTCACAATGCATCTCATATTACTGATTTACTGGGAGTCACGAAAACAATACTTTATTCGAAAAATAATGTATAGTAGTCGATTGTTATAGCAGATATACTTTAATTTCATCGACAATTCCACCAAAAAGAATATGATATGGCAAAAAGGCCTGGCCTTGCTTGAAAATTCACATTTGCCCTGTGACCCAAAAGGTGCTCGTGGCGGTGTAGCCGAGTGGTTAGAATGTCAAGCTTCCATCCTGTACTGTCGCGGTTCGACTACCGCTGAAGGTGTTGATGAGACCGATGAATGGTCGAAACTGCAGTCCACGCTGGATGAGAACAACTTTTGGGAAAGCAAGGCAATGTTAAATTCAATGGAAACGTCAGCTCAACTCATATCGTTGTGGGAAAATTCTTCTTCTACCAGTCCTTCATCACCTCAAACGAAATTGGGTAAATACATCTCATATTACTGATTTACTGGTAGTCACGAAAACAATACCTTATTCGAAAAATACTTAATTTTAGAAAGTAAGTTTGACAGCTAACAAGCTTTACATCTCAGCTAATCACTCCAGAATATCTGGCATTAGTGCCAAACAGAAAAGAGTCAATTGAAGATATGAAGACCAAGACGGTGTGGCCTCTGGTATAGTCACAGTCTCCTTTCAATTTATAGAAATGGGTTACCTCGTTGC